GTATGTGTCTGTGTCTGCCGTATGTGTATGAGTCTGCTCAGCAGTATGTGTCTTTGTCTGCATATGTTTCTGTGTCTGCAGTTTGTGTCTGTGCACTATGTATCTGTGTCGGTAATATGTGTCTGCAGTATGTGTCTGCAGTATGTGTCTGTGTCTACAGTATGTGTCTGTGTCTGCATTTTGTGCCTGTGTTTGCTGTTTGTATCTGCGTCTTCAGAATGTGTCTATGTTTGCAGTATGTGTCTGTGTCTTCAGTACGTGTCTGTGTCTGCAGTATGTGTCTGAGTCTGCAGTTTGTGTCTGTGATTGCAGTATGTGTCTGTGTCTGCAGTATGTGCCTGAGTCTGCAATATGTGTCTGTGACTGGAGTATGTGTCTGTGTCTGCAGTATGTGTCTGTGTCTGCAGTATGTGTCTGTGTCTGCAGTATGTGTCTGTGTCTGCAGTATTTGTCTGGGGGGATTTCGTAGGTCGCAGGTTTCATCCCAAACCACTTCCTTGGAAAACCCACACAAAACTATACTTAAAATTAAACCATTATACCATGCCATACGAGCTGTTTAAAAACGAACAAAAACAATGATATGATATGTTACTTATTTTACCTTTACGTAATGCATAAAGTATACAGGGGGGGATGTGCTCTTGCCTCCCCTCTCATATTTAAAGGGAAAACTATATATATCAGGGGCGTACAACAGCATTTGTGAAGGGGGGGGGGCACTTTTTGTGCCCTTCTTGACAACATTATGCCCAAAGAGAATAGAATATATTCTATTCTCTTTGCTTAAAACTCATTTTTTGAAAAAATATGAATGCCTTTTTCACCTATGTACACTATTCGATCATATGCACACTTCCATATAACAAGTGTTAATAAATAATTTATGTAATTATCTCAAGTGGACTCATCAGACAATCCCTCTTAATACTGTGGTGTAAGCTTCAAGGGATGAAAAATAGAGATGGAACGTTTCTTGAAAAATATCTATATTTTCATAGGATTGATACATATTGTATAATAAATAATGATATCAAATCTATATTTACACTGTAGGCAGTATTGATTCAAGATTTTTTAATGAAATTTTTTTAGTTAAGATTAAGTAAGATTTTAAAGTATTTTTTATTATACGATGTAATTATATTTAAATGGAATGCATACGCAATCTCCAGGGACCCTCCATTTATAGAGTGGCATGTTCTTCATTTTTCTGTCGTTTCTGAAGCAAGAAATTGCATGAGTCATTTTTTTGTAGAGAAACCAAAAATAAAGATAATCAGTTTTCAAAATGGGAAACATGGATATGTTATACTTGATCAGACAAAGCTTTGAAGGGTATTGTTGTGAATCAGAATATATTTTATTTCTTTTCTTAATCTTTTAGTTTGGGTGAGTGCAATGCAATGCAATGTAGAATGTAGATTACCTAAGGAAGGGAAATGCAAGCAGATGAAATATTAAAAGAGCCCCCATCCCCATGGGTAAGGGCAGCCGAGGGGATCGCCCCCCCCCCCTCGTACGCCCCTGAATTTTGTGGGAGGTTAATATTGAGTTTCCCCTATTTAAAGGTGATTATTTTCCCCCCATTTATAATTTAAAAAGAATTTCGCTTTTATTTCTAAGAAATCAGAATTCGCTTGACAATATTATAATAAACAAAAATCAATGAACTAAGTGTTAACGAATCTTGTTCCACAACCAGTAACCGCAAATAAAATTGAACAGAGGGCCCATTGAATTATTCCTTGTAATTTAGTAATTCACTCTCTGTAGAAGTCTTTGCAATTTAAAGGCGGAAATGGTCCAATTTTACTTTTCTATTTCAATACTTCCTAGAGAGGGATTTTATTAAGGGGGCCAGGTGGTGGGGTTGGGAAGGGATTACTTTTTTTTAGTGATTCAAGGTGATTAAAGTACTATTCTATGCAATTGCAATACAACAAGGGGCAATGTGCACTTTTCTCTTTATACAAAGAGGGGGGGGGGGCTATGTGGCTAATAGCCCTCTGGAATGCCAAAAAAAAATTCCTGTATTTTACGCTCCCCAAGAAATTACACTTATCTTTCCATAAAGAAAATAAATAGGTAAATGCAAAATTGGATACTTCATCAGTCATCAGCAATGAGAAAGTAAATTTGATCGTATAGAATCCATATCCAGATGTTTTTATGTCAAATCTGTTTCAATCGTTGCGAGGGACATGAATGACCTGAAAATGATCGATACATCACAAGATAAGTTTTAAAATCCAAACTCAAAATCTAAAAATATCCAAACTTAAATCCTAGACTATAGGTACAATACTACATATTTTCACTTTAATTGTAACCATATTGTAACCATATTGTAACCATATTGTAACCATATTGTAACCATATTGTAACCATATTGTAACCATATTGTAACCATATTGTAACGGACCCTTCAACAAATAGTAACATTAAGGGATAACATCCGACGAGGAACACAATGACAACGTGCCATCAGGGACAATGAAGTGAAGCTGGGACAATAATGTATTGTCAGACGGGACATTAATATTGTGGTCAGCGGGGACAATAAAGTATAGTCAGACGGAACATTAATAATGTGGTCAGCCGGGACAATAATAATGTGGTCAGCTGGGACAATAATGTATTGTCAGACGGGGCATTAATATTGTGGTCAGCGGGGACAATAAAGTATAGTCAGACGGGACATTTATAATGTGGTCAGCCGGGACAATAAAGTATAGTCAGACGGGACATTAATAATGTGGTCAGCCGGGACAATAAAGTATAGTCAGACGGGACATTAATAATGTGGTCAGCTGGGACAATAATAATGGGGTCAGCTGGGACATTAATAATATGGTCAGCCGGGACAATAAAGTGGGTTCTTAAAAAATTTCAAGTAAGTCGGGATGAGGAAGAAAAATTAGGTGGTCAGAGGTCATCTTAAAATAAATAACACATGATAAAATAAAAAAAAATAAAACCGAATTTAGCAAGTAAACACAATATAAACACCAGAAACGCTATTATGTTTTGAAGCAAATCATTTTCTTTTAATAACGACCATTCTTCCCCAGCTCACAGTCCCAACCTAAGCCTTTTTTAGTCATAATACATTTCAAATGAAAATTATCCATCTTCAGATAACTTTTTTTGTATTTAATTTCAAATGAAAATTATCCATCTTCAGATAACTTTTTTTGTATTTAATTTCAGATGAAAATTATCCATCTTCAGATAACTTTTTTTGTATTTAATTTCAGATGAAAATTATCCATCTTCAGATAACTTTTTTGTATTTAACTTCAGGTGAAAATTATCCATTTTCAGATAACTTATTTTTTTTGTATTTAACTTCAGATGAAAATTATCCATCTTCAGATAACTTTTTTTTGTATTTAACTTCAGATGACAATTATCCATTTAATTGCAGGCGAGTTCCACCAAATATCTTGCTAATTTTCAACCATTAAAATTTGACAATTCAGAAATATCCAGTGAAAATATTATCCATCTTCAGATAACTTATTTTTTTTGTATTTAACTTCAGATGAAAATTATCCATCTTCAGATAACTTAACTTCAGATGAAAATTATCCATCTTTAGATAACTTTTTTTGTATTAAACTTCAGGTGAAAATTATCCATCTTCAGATAACTTATTTTTTTTGTATTTAACTTCAGATGAAAATTATCCATCTTCAGATAACTTTTTTTTGTATTTAACTTCAGATGACAATTATCCATTTAATTGCAGGCGAGTTCCACCAAATATCTTGCTAATTTTCAACCATTAAAATTTGACAATTCAGAAATATCCAGTTTTTGCATGATTTTTGGAAGAGTTTTTTTAAAGGCTTACACATATAAAAATATAAATATTACACATGTAAATTACATGTATGTATTTAATTTATTCTGATGTAATTATTTATTCTAATGTATTTAATTTATTCTGATGTAATCTATAAAATAAATGAAATAAACACTGAAATATTTTACAATAAATACACGGAGACGTTCTGTTCTCCTGATAGAAAATAGATAGACAGATAATAGAATAGATTGATAGACACAAATCTCAAGGATAGATAGATAAGGTAGTGTGTCAAAGATAGAACGATACGAGGATGGATAGATAGATAATAACGTACAATAAATAGATAGCAAACCTACTTCTACTTACCTATGAGTGATAGATAGATAATATCAGTTTTCTTTAACAAGACATTTCTCCAACTCTGCGTAGATAAATACACATGGACGATGCCAATAAAAGTATGATATAAATATAATACTAATATAAGTGTTGATAAAGGAAAAAGTAAGTTATAGATTTCCACAAATAAGAAGATATATTGAAACATTATAACATAGATAGAAGGATAGAAAAATGTGAAATGATTTCACTTTTCTTCAGTTAAGTTTTATCATTGTTGCCACCTGTTAGTGTTACCACTTAATATCATCTCCTTTCTACATTATACCTGCTTCATCCTCTGCTTTAATACCATCTCCTTTCTACATTATACCTGCTTCATCCTCTGCTTTAATACCATCTCCTAGTTTCATTATACCTGCTTCATCCTCTGCTTTAATACCATCCAATAGTTTGGTTTTACTACATTCTCTAGTACAGTGATAAACAGAAAACTCTGGAATAGGAAGTCGACTTTTAAACAGACCCCTTTCACTAATTATAAGTAATTCAATAATTCCTAGTTCAGCTATTTCCTTTATAACAACACAAATGCACTTCATTATTGCTTTCATGTCGTCTTCCTATTCTACAATTTTCTGGTTATCACTGTAGCTTTAATTTTCGAGGAATAATTTGCAAACTATCTAAACAATCTGATTTTTTATTTCAAATTGTGTAATGAATTGAACAGATTTATAAAGAATGCTCGTTAAGCTTTTCATGTGTCTCCTTTTTCCTATAGAGCCCAGAGGTTACTGGTTATGAGTCGATATTTAGTGTCAGATTTTTCAGAATACTAAACATGCAAGATAATTTCATTCTAGATTTTAGATTTCATGGATTTCATGTATCTCTAACGGGTTAAATGACTGAATCTGCATTTCTCTAACAGAGAAGATTAAAATATGAAGTTTGGCGTCATCATCATTATTTTTATTAATATTTCTCAGCACTACAGCATCTGTGACACTTTCAGTGGTTTAATAAATAACAGAAATCAGCAATTATGTGATGAAGGAGATAAAAAAGTGAGAAATATCAAATCCAAAAATGAAAATTTTGACCAAAATTTTAATTCAACATTTTCTGATATATTTGAAAAAGAATCACTGAGCATGTTCCATCATTACCATCTTACAATAAGCAAACAGACAGGTAACTGAACAAAAATTTAATCTTACTTTTAGTAAATGAATTTAAAGTAATTTACACTTTTTTGCCCCATAATTTTCACCCGAATAATGTGCACACCCTCTTAAACAACAATTAAAGTTGCCAATATAAGGGACATATAAATATCCCCTATCCCCTATAGTAAATATATATTAATATATTTCCAATATTTTATGAAAATAAAAACAAGTTCAAAAAGATTTAGATATATATTTAATGTAATCTTTTTTATAGAGTCCACGAGAGAAAAAAGAGCCTATTGGGGGTTTGACAAGTAAGTAAACATGAGAAAATTGTATTAGAAGATTCAGGTCTAGTATATAAACCATCTCCCTGTATACTGCAGGGTATGGAGAGGATAGATCTATTATATAAATCATTTCCCTGTATACTGCATGGGGTATTGAGGATAGATCTAGTATATAAACCATCTCCATGTATACTGCAGGGTATGGAGAGGATAGATCTAGTATATAAACCATCTCCCTGTATACTGCAGGGTATGGAGAGGATAGATATAGTATATACATCATCTCGCTTTATACTGCATGGGGTATTGAGGATAGATCTAGTATATAAACCGCAAAAATATCAAAAGATCAAATGCCAAATGATCAAATGCAGAATTATACAGTACAAACGCAGTACATTTCAATTAGGTCTACAAGCTAGAAATGTAAACAAATCTGGGTACAATCCATAGAGAATAGAATATATAGAGAGGAATTAAAAGAATCTCTCGGTATGATGAAGAAAGAGAAGAAAGAGAAGAAAGAGAAGAGAGAGAAGAAAGAGAAGTAAGAGAAGAAAGAGAAGAAATATATATGCATACCCTAAAATCATTTCTAAATAATTTCTATTTCTATAATATTTTTGAAAAAGTAAGTAGCTGCCCCTACTGTTCAGCGTAAACTTTTTTGATCATTTCAAGAGTTTTGATCATTGGGCATTTGATCTTTTGATATTTTTCCATATAAACCACTCCCTGCATTCTGCAGGGTATGGAGAGAATATATCTAGTATATAAACCATCTTCCTATATACTGCAGGGTATGGAGAGGATAGATCTAGTATATAAACCATCTCCCTGTATACTGCAGGGTATGGAGAGGATAGATCTAGTATATAAACCATATCCCTGTATACTGCAGGGTATGGAGAGGATAGATCTAGTATATAAACCATCTCCCTTGTATACTGCAGGGTATGGAGAGGAGTAAAGTCTGTGAAGACTGGAATGGAAACTATAAAGGAGAGGATGGATGTAGTTAAAACTGGGATAGAATGGATTGGAGAGAAGATGGGAGGACTTGTTATTTCAGAATCAGATTCAGAGGTCAGGAATATAAATTTTAAAAGGACTGTAAACGTATTTTTAAGTTACCCCCGATTGAAGAGTTTTTTTCCTGACCAACAATAAGAAAGATATCGTCATTTTACTACGTCAAAACTACTGAATTATTTTTATTCTATTCGTTTTTTGCTAAACCACAACTCACAATTATCAATTTTTCCATTGAAAAAATAAGGTTATCTTAGCCATTTCTCACACACGTTGGTTCAAATGGCACCATTGAGGCTTCAATAATTTACAATATATAATTCGTAAATGATCTTTTTATAAAGTGTTTTCTATTATTCAAATTATATCAAGTTAAAAAGGGGGGGGGGGGAATGAATCTTTGAAGTTTTCTTGTCTCACATAGACCCAGACTGCAATGAAAAGTGCATCAATTTTCAAGATCGGACCCACTTTTAAGCGTTGCAAAGCATTGGCCTTTGCTTTTATCTCACTTTTCAATTACACTTTTTTTGCATCTCTACCCTAGCATGTACATACAAAGCAATAAAACCACTGGTTTTAGCTTTAGTATTAAAGAAGTAACCGACAAAATTCGCCACGTTTGTTGCGCATTGGTCAGTATATTGCCAATTCCAATCTTGACATTTCATTAATTTACTTTAGGATTCCTACGTTGGAAGTACAGATGATTCCCATGGATCGAATAGTGGTTACCACGGAAAGAAGAAAAAGAAAAAAAGGAAAAAGGTTTCAATATTTCAATATTACAGCATTATACATTTAACATAAAATATTGTCACGCCTCTTTAAAGTAAAGTTGAAAATGGAAACTTTTAGAAAGAAAGTAAATTTCGTGTTGGAATTTGTTTAAAAATTTTGATTATCTGTAAGACTGTACTTTTTCAAATCCCAATCACAGTGGGCTTATTTACAGTATTAGCACTTTAAAGATGATGATGTCCTCGACATGATTTAGGATTTGTAAATTGAAAATTTTAGGTTATAGAAATTTGTAGCAGCAGCAACTCTGGAATTTTTGCATTTTTTGCAGTTCTTGTTCAGTCGGTGAGTTTTCTTTTAAAAAGGACGACATTCAGGAAACTGGTATACAAGCTGTAAATATGAATACAGGAATACAAAGTGAATAAATATGTATTCACTTTGTGAAGATATGGGGTTTGCAAAAATAGAGGTCGGATTTAATGAATAGCAAGAAAAAGTGTCTTTTAAGTCCGATGCGTAGTAGATTTTTGATATTACAACTATGAATTCTGGCAGATCAAATAGTCCAAGTTTGAATGTTTCCGCCTTAGGTTGCAAAGATGTAGGAATTATAAATTTTGAGTTTGTATTAAGCACTCAGTTCTTTTATTAGTAAACACAAAAATTTATTTATTTATGGCGTTAGTCTATATTTCTCTATTATATAACATTAAGATGTCAACTTTCTTTCTTTTTCAGGCGAATATCATGATAACTTTTATGTTCACTCTCATGGTGGATATTATGATTACAGGTAGATAAACAATTGTAATTATTTTCAATTCTCTCAGATTCGTATTAATAGGCCAGTTAACAGTTCTTATCTGTCCCAAATTTTTTGTGGGACATCACGTGACCACAGGGAAGGTTTACGAATGATAAAAATTAAAAAAATGTGTTTTAAAGGTTTTTAACTTTGTAAAAAAATTCTTGAAAATCCGCGAATTTTTTTTAAAAATCGTCGAAATTTTTTCCTCTTTATTTTATTATGTAAACAAAAAGACAAAAAACAAAAAGCCTAGTAAGCTTAAAAGCCCAAACGCACAAACCCAACTTTTTTTCCTAAATCTGTAAAATCGGAGTACCGAATGTTATAAAACTTCTGGATAAACTTAAATATACAAACATGAATGAAGTTATAAATTTACATCCTCAAAACAATCTTTCTTCTTATTTTTGAGTTAACTGCCTGTGGATAAACTATAGAAACATAATTATTTTTTGTGCTTTTAGCTTCCTTTGACGGGGAGAGGGTTAAAACACAAAACTTCTGAACATTGATGAATGAAATTATTTTACAGAAGCATTTTTTTATTTTGAATTCTTCAATGTTTGGTTAAAAAAAGCAGTTTATACAAAAAGACTTCTATTTGGATACCCTTGGAACGAGGTTAAATTTCCGAATTCAAATCAATTTAAAGAATTGAAAAATATTGAAAACTGACACACATTTTTGAGTAATTAACTTAATAATCATTTAAAAGCCACTTGTTCCAAATAATACAATTTTGCTTTTGTAAACTGATTTAAAAACCTCATATTCCTTATTTTGATAAGTAAGAGATAAAGTTTATACCTAAATGTTTACAATAATGATTAAGAGAGACTTTATTTTTGAAATTTCAGACTTGTTTTTGAGAAATTTCGTTTGCCCAATTTAATTTTTTTGAACATTTTTAGCCAACCTTACTGGAACTGGAACCGGGACAAGTGTAAATGTCAACAATAATAACAACAACAACAATAATAACGAAAATAACAACAACAACAACAATAACAACAATAATGACAACAATAACAACAACGGAAGAAGAAAAAAATCAATAAGAGAAGAGATTAAAGAGTTCAACAATTTCCAATATAAAGATTTGTCCAGTCATTGTAACAAAAAAATAAATTCATTTGCAGAATCTTTGATCTTAAAATCTTTTGATAAAATTAGAAATGATGTTATTTTGTTTAATTTTCAGGACTCGTGCTTTTAGTTTTGTTTAAATAAAATCATAAATACCTGTAATACAATGAAAAGTTAAATAAAAATTATTATTCATGTGTGAATAAAACAGAAATGCATTGTCAACGTGAATATATTTTCATTACTATTTTAATCACTATATTGGCTATGTTGCAGGAGTTGTGGTGAGAACCAGAAAACTTTGAAATAGGAAAACGACTTTAAAGTTTGAGACCAAGGGGGTATACACGGAGGGGGGGGGG